CTGCATCAAGTCATGTATATATATATATATATATACACACTCACTTATTACTACTTGAACAATTAACCACTACAACATAATTGATAATGTATTAAAGTTCTGATGTAACTTCTTTGTGTTAAACCGGAATATACATTTTGTACCATAAGCAAAAAAGAAGAAAAAAGTTAATACAGTTGTTATTATTAAACGCTCCCTGTTTGATCTACTCTTCAAGTAAATGTTCGTATATCACGATAATATGCGATATGTCCTTCTAAAGTTACTTTGACCACAGTTAGGAATAGCAGACAGAATATTAGACATTTTAGGATAAGAATGAATTTAAGAAATAAATATTGCATTGATTAAAACATTTTCAATTAATTGGTAAGTTCATCTGATGTTGATAAATAAGTTTCTCTTTTTAATGAATCTAAAAAATTAATATTTTTATTGTCGCATAAATGATGATAAAGCTGTCCTTGGTACTACTTTACAATACAAGTTACAACTCCGACTTACCACTACAGTACTAGTAATACTTTTACTAGTAATACTATAACTTATAAATAATATTAATATCAGTTTAGTAGTACTAGTACTTCTACTAGCTGGTGATTTAGGTTTCTAGCAATAATAGTTAACACTAGTAATGTTGCGATAACTGTTACTGAATTAGAAAGATAACACTTAAGTTGAGCAGTTGATGATACATAAGATTTTGTTATTAATTACATTCAACTACTTTACTTAACTGAAACTTGGTTAAATAGTAAATATAATTTATACTTTTATGGTACATTGCACTATAAGTACGACTGGTGCTATTACTACTAGTACTACTTACTGATACTACTAATTTACTAGTATTTGTAATAGATGTAGGCTACTTTCCATACTGGTGGTATTAATACTATTATTAGATGTATGTTAATTTATTGTGCTTTGAACGTTTAAGCCTCAAGTTTTAACAGAATTATAGTTTTACACCAATACAATAGTAACAATATAAAGCAAAATCAAACCAATAGCAAATAAGAATTTAGTACGATTTACTTTTAATATTCCCATGAGCAATGCTGCACCATAGGTAATTTATAAGTACAAGGGATTGATAATGGCATTTGAAGAAAAGAGCCATAACTTAATTCTGTCAGGGGTAGTGCCAAGACTTAAATGTGAAGAAAGGATTATAAGTAGGTCATTAGGGCTGAATGTTATGTTTGTTAATATGTACAGATGAGCATATTGGCTGGGTGGACATCTGGGGACCACTTCTGTGGGAAAAGGAAGCATTTTGGAATGGATAGTTTACACTTAAGTAGAACAGAGGCTGGCTTGTTTTTAAGGGCTATTAACTCGGGTGTAAGGATAGCTTTAAACCAGGACTAGACAGTGGTGTGGGCCAAGATAAATTAAATCGTAAATGAAACAAGATGTAGAGAAAAGTGTAATGTAGGAACATAGTGCACAAGTAATTGTAAAGCTAGATTTAATTGATAGTATTGTAACACTAGGAGAAATAAAATAGTGATTTTAGAGCACTAGTTGAAAAAATAGGTTTTTGATATTATTGAAATGACTGAAACTTAGTTAAATATAAACAGTTTTGATCACAGATGTTTTGAAATATAAGATTATAGGCAATGGTGTAGTGGTTAAAAAAAGTCCCAGTGATTAGTGGCATTTTTATAACTCATTATTTTACTTTTAGAATAACTATCTAAATAATACAATCTTATCATTTAACTGAAGTATATTATTTAATCAGTAATTTTTAAAATGATTAATATGAAACATAAGACTTTCATTATTACAAAATGGACTTAGTAAATAATTTTTGCTTTGTTTTTTGTACATTTATTTGGCAGCACTACTTGAGACAGTTACAGGTCACGAGCTGATATATGTTTACTGTTGCATTCTATAGCAATGTATATGTAAGGCTTTACCATGACTTAATATCTACTTATCCTGATTTTCAAGATATACACATACCAGAACCCTGCCAGTTGTTGGATAAAATAGTGATAACAGTTTTGCTGATTCTGATTGCCTAAAAGTTCTGATATTCATTTAATACTTGATATGGAAGAAAAGTGGGCATTCTTGGTGAAATGAATTGCTTTGTATGGGAACTCGGGAAGGCATCTCTACTGAAACATACACATGTGTTGTTTGACAGAAGTGTATTTTTAAGTACTTGCATTTAAGTTGAATGCTAGTCAGGATTAATATGTGTCCAATATTAATTATTGTTACTACTATATAGTTTTTAACACCAACTCTAATGAGAAAATATTCAGAATGTGTATAATAATTATTATTCTAATTATTAGCATGATTATGACGATATTAACAATTATAATCTTAATCTAATAGTAAAGTTTCTCACTAATTTTATCAATTTTATCATTCTCAACTTCCAACAGGATGTATCTCACATTTTACATATAAAACTATTCCTTCCCCTCTTTTGAATACTCTAACTCTGTACTCTAACTCTGTTAAGTAACCTATAACCAGGGAAGTAGTGGAACCAGACTGGGATGAAGTGGCTCTTTGGCACTTTTTTAGTCTCATGGTGCTCAGCAGGAGTATTTTAATTTCAGGCATATAGGTTAGGAATTGTAAGAGCCAAACCATGAGAGAGAAAGGTTTTTTTTAGAAATTGTTTAGGATGGTTTTTCTTCCCCAATTGGCCAGAGAACCTACTAGGAATAATGCTGCTCTAAATTCATAGGTTTATTATTAACTTAATATATATAAATGATTGATAGAGTGGAGACTGGTGAACATCAGAGTGTAAAGTGATCATTGTTTATTAGGTTTGGTGTTTTACTGAATATGGAGATCGGGATAATGAGATTTTGGTTACAAGTTTCCAAAAGGAAAGTTATAAGGGATATGACAAGAATTGGGCAACTGAATTAATTGGAGATACTGATAATACTTAGAAAATAGATTTTTAAATATCAAACACGTTCCTTATAGAAAAGAGGAAGGCTGCAAGCAAAAGACCAGGTTAGCTTACAAACAATATAAGGGACAAAATTAAATAAAATTGTTATAAATTTAAGAAGTTTAAATTCATTGCTATGATGGTTATATAATATCAAACAGGACATTAAAAAACCAAAACGGGTATATGAAAAAAATGGTTGACTGAATATTTAAAAATCAACAGAAGGATTCCTTTAAATAAATTAAGGGTAAGCAAAATGTTAGGATTGGTGTAGGATTTTTGAGGGTGATAAAGAAAGAAAGGCTAACTTCTTATGATTATGAGATGGCTAGTCTACTAAATACTACGTTTTCTTAAATGTTTATTAAGGAAAATGTAAAAAATTTTTCTCATCCCGATTAGTTGTTAGATGGAAACAAGACTGGATAAAATGATAATGTTAATTCTGAGTTTGATATGACTCCTGGACCAAATTATATTTGCTCACTGGTTTTGAAAGATGTCAAGGATTGGACATGTGAGCCACTTACTAATATTTTTACTAATTACTAATAATTAATAATAATGAATAGTGAGCAGGTGCCATAAGATTGGAAAATAGCTAATGTTACTTTTCTTTTTGAAAGATGGTGATAAAAATTGTCTTGGTAATTATAGGCCAATTTGTCTTACATGAGTGCGGGTAATAGTTTTTGAAAGTCTGATAAAATATTGCAAAGTCATTTAGTAAAGTTTGTAGATTAGGATAAGGGTCTGGAAAGGGTTCAGAAGAGGGCTGCTAGGATGATACTTTGGATGAAAATGTTATCATATGAGGATAGGTTAAGATATCTGAACTTGTTTTCTCTTGAAAAATGAAGAGATAGAGAGTATCTGAATGTTGATGCATCATCATCTTTTCATATTTAATAGTGAGAATAGTAAGACTAGGGAACACAAGTATGCATTTTGGCATGGAAGAAGTCATCCTCAGCTAAGATGGCTTTATTTTTCTAACAGTGTTGTTTACTTCCAGAACAGTTTGCCTTCAGATGTGATGGAGGCAGTTAATTTAAGGGAAAGCTTAATAAATATTTGAATATCAAGGGCTGCTTTTGAGATTTATGTTAATTTAGTGGATTGGACAGCCAACAGGTCCCCTGTTGTTCTTTAATGTGATGTTATGTAATTATCATTATCATGTTAATTTCTTCAAATGACACTAAAATTATGCACAGTATTGTAAAATAATCTTATCCAGAATACAAGAAGACAGTATCCTTCTAAATTTAACTTCAGTTTTGACTTTTATAGATTCATCATAAAACACTATAAATGAACTCATTGTCATAGGTTTCAAACCTATATTCTTCTCTTCACACCACCAGATTCTTTTCACACATAGGGCTTATAGTTCTATTTAAGTTTTTGTATTTAAATAACATCACTTTACCCACAGAATATTGAAACACATTTTCAAGATGCTGCTCTCACTTACATTGAAATATAACAAGACTTTCCATGTGATTTTAAAAGGAATTCTCAACATTACCAACTTAACAGAAATATAAGAAAAATATATTTATTTAGCTATACTGATTGCTAGGTTGATTTTTAGTTTCACTTTAAGTACATAACTTACTCTGATCAAAAGTTGATATTAATTGTAGCTAGAATATTCTGTATTGAAAGAGTAAAGAAGTAAAATTTATAACTTTTTAATCATTGTGCCTAAACTTGCTTAAAACATGTGTACAATACCATTAACAAACTAACATCTTGTCCCTCAAGACACTAATATGCTGTATAGCAGTTTAATGTTCATGTATTGAAGTAACCATATTAATGTAAACCTATGTTTTTATTGATAGCTAAAAGAGTTTACTATTTAAGTATCGTTGTTTGAAATTAATGTAAGATTAAGAGAGAAAATATAAATGTATAGTCTTTAAATAAACATTCATAGTCATCAATGAATTGTCGGTATTGTAAGAACTTTGTTTACTCAAACAAATGCACACTTAACTTGTACCTTAGAGTAGCAGTGTTACTACACTTGTAAACAATGGCCTATAAGCAGACATCTTTAAAGTGTTTTCTACGTACAGATCTCTCTGCTTTTAATATGCATAAAATACTGTCTAGATGTCATTACCATGGTGATTATTATGTATTTATTGGTTATAAATTTTGATATGTTTGATTATGGTTCGTTATATGTACGTGGATATGATTGACTACTTTTACTTTTGTTTCAATATCTTATTTGGTTTTGGTGGATAATGACATAACTTTAGTAAATTGGATGTAATCTTGCACTCACTTTAGTTCTTAACTTATTGAAATAATTATTTGCTAGATCCAAATAAAAGTCATTGCAAGCAACTAGAAAATTTTGTGCCTATATACTATTTTCTGTAGTGAATTCAATTTCAGAGTCATTTACCATCTAAACTGTAGTAGGATTTATCAGCCAGTCCCAATAATGATGAAGCTTCTGTTGAATTTATTTCTATTATTTCCCAGGTACATAGCATTTTAAAACTTTAACCAATATCTCTCAGTATTGATTTTCTTCATTATATGGATGAATGACTTTTTTTTTCTCAATTGTCACACGAGTAATTGACCCAATCTCAACTAATCACCCAGTTGGCTTTGAATCTGAGATGGATTGTCCATGAGTCCATGTCTCAGTTTGTACTTATTCAATATCTGGTGCAAAAGTGTTTTGAATAAATACTTTTCAAGGAACTCTTCACCTGATTACCATGGTTTTGTAATCATTAGAGTCTTGGGTGCATCTGCTTCTTTGCTTCATCTGCCAAAGATGTCCTCTTTACTTTGGGGACAATGCATTTTATTCATGAAGTAATTTCATTTGGTCTTGCTCACAGGAAAGATTTTCAATGGAATCTTGCCTCTCACTGGTATCTAACAGAATTTCCATCTTTCCTGCTACTCCCAATTACCTTCAACTTTGGCTTAATCAAGGGTTTACTGCTGTGGGTTCCCCTTTTCCTCTACCTCATCCAGAGTTGCAACTCCTGGTAGATGTTTTTCTCTATGGTTATAGTTCTGTATTAGAGAAACATTACCTTTCAAGTTCATTGTCTCTTCAGGAATCTATTTCTCATATCAATATTTTGGATTCATGAGCAGTTGAATATGTTTGTCAAAGATTTCTACCTTTATCAACCATTACTGTGTCTTACTTCTCACAGACAGTTCTACTGTAGTAATATATATCACCAATCATGCAAGAACTCAATCCCACAGTCTTTGTTTTCGTGCAGTATCTCTACATCTTTGGCTCTATGCAAAGAATATATCTCTGAGCTTGTTATGTACTAGGTGTTATGAAAACCCTAGAATGGATCCTTCACTTTTTACTTTTAAATGATTGATGCATTCACAATGGTGGACAGTCAACTTCTTCCAGTTTACCATTCCTCTCTTTCAGACCATACTTCTTTAGTGGTGGATACTTTGAGTTGATCTTGGGAGAATTTTTTTGTATTTGATTACCCTCCTCTTCCTCAGTCATTGATCAAGATCAGTTCCTTAAACTTTCAAGTTTTCCTCATTTCTTTACATTAGTCTGCTCATCTGTAATTTCTATCATTGAGTCATTTATCTAAAGAAGTTCATATTCCACTACCTCTTTGGAAACACCTGCTATGCCAGCCTTAAATTTCCATGTACCACAGACATTTGTCGTATACAGTATCATGGTTGGCTGTTGTGGTCTCTTATTAGAGAAGCCAGGTTCTCTTCTTGAATAGCTTAAATGTTCTCACATTCTTGTGGATGTTCATCCCTGACTTTATCTTGTTGGGCTATCTTCAAGAGTTAATGCTTTAGAAATCTGTTTTCTTTTCTTTCTCCAGATCCAAATCCTACAGATTTCATCCTTTTTTATGTTCTCGATCATGTCTTATTTGTTTCTTCCATAGTAGGCTACAAAACTGCTTTCTCTGCCACCTTTAGATGTTACAGAAGTAATCTTTCTTGTCCCCACACTTTCATGGCCTCTTTCAATGACACTTGAATGTTTTGTTAAGGTGTTTCACTTCTCTTTTTGAACCATTACTGACATGATTGCTCTTTCACTGAAGATGAATTTTCTTTTATTACTTGCTTCAGGTAAGAGAAGATCTCATGTTTATGCTCCTGATGCTTCTCATACTCTTTTTCTGTTGTTGTCATTTCTAAGAAAGTTTGAACTTGTATCCTGATAAGGCTTTCCTACTAAAGACTGGGCATGTAAGAGAAGGTAACTACTCTTCTTTTCTAACTTGTTACTTTCAAGTATCCTGACTAATCCAAATTTTTGTTCAGCAAAATGTTTTTTTTGGTCTTGTCAGGGTCATTCATTGGTATATTGTATATTGGTATATTGGGGTCTTCCCAATGAGCTCAAGATTAGTTGTTTATACCTTATGACAAATCTTGCTCCATGGAAACTAATGAATTGGTGTGTATAGATGATCTGTGATGTCTTTCATAAATTTAAGAGTGTATTTTAGATTACATCTCATCAGATTTTCTCCTTGGCAATGTCTTTGGCTCCCCCAGTCTCAATACCCATTATAAGACATATTACAGGCTGGCATGTGGATGAATCTAAATACTTTTCATCAATTCTATTTATACTACATTGCTGTCCTTCAGTTTCAGGATTACTGTTGACCCATGGTTGTTTTCCAAGCCACATGAAATCCATAATAGGTTAGTTGTTCTCTTTTAAATGCATACTTATTTCTTGGGCCCACACCTATATTGCATATAGTGACCCAGGTATTTTCTATTCCATCCATGTTAACAATTACATGGATGTCTGGGGTGGAAAAGGGGCTTGAAAAAGTCTCTCAGGTATTAGGAGTGTATATGTTTAATTGTTTATACTATTTATTACAGCCAGGAAATTCTATACATATATGGATTTGTTTTGTTGGTCTCTTGGCTGTTTATTAACCTCTGCATTTGTCCTTGACACATTTTTGCTCTTTGCACTGGTGCTCCATGAGAGGGTTCTGTCCTTTGAAAGGGAACAGGAGATGTCATCTGATGGCTGATGATGCCATTGCAGGTATGTGCTTGCATGACCTTGGCTCTTACCAAGGTGGGTAACATCTATCTTTTTATGCTTGTTTTCTGTTTTATTTTTGACATTCCCATTGCACTTTCCTCAAGTTGTTGAGCCTCATTCTTGGGAGAGCTTGAGTCTTTTGTTAATTTTCTCTTAGACCCCATCAGTTTGACCAGTTTTGTGACTTAACTAACCTTTTTAGAGGTGGAATATAGTGTGACTAAACCTCAGGTGTAAGTCCAGTCATAATTTTTGACTGGACTGCTTTTCGGAATATCTTCCAATACAGGAACAGAACATATTATTCTTTATACCTGTGCCTCCATTATAGGCTCCACATTATTGCCCTAACAGTATGAACTAAAGGGTGCCCAAGATGTAGTACTTTGTACCCAATGTGACAGTTCTCCTGGTGTCCAAATAGCAATAAATCACAGTAGGAGTTATCTGTTTCAAGTGTTGGTAATATAAACAAGAGCATGAAATATTATACCACACACTGATTAGCTTAGGCTAGGGGGAAGTTGACTTTTTATTGTACTATAGTTTTGTTAGACTAATATGAGATGTTTATGATTTATATATTTGAGTTACATTTTAAAAAAATGTATATAACAATGAATAAAAAAATATAAATAAAACAGTGGTTTGTAGTACTCATGGTGTACTTGAGTAACAATCCATGATCTTCTCTAATGTAGCTTTCAAATATGCATTTTAGAAAATGTAAAATATATCGGTCACTAGAATAGGATGTCTCAAAACTACTGTAATTTATCCAGCTATTTAAATAAGCTATAAATAGGTTAATAAAATTCCATAATCATTCCAAGCTGAAAAATATGATCACCACATAAATCAAGTACTTCCTCTAGACTAATGGCTTATGGTGCAAAATGGAACAGATGTGTAAGATTTATGTAGAGGAAAATCTACTCTTTCCAGTGGTTATACACATACCCATACATCATGTAAAGTTTCTTAGCAAATAATATCAAATTCAGAGAGAGGAAAGACACTTTTCTAGTGGGTTTGATAAATTTATTGGTCTCAGGAAATCAAGAAGATAGGAGGCTCAGATTTTAGGTTCTTGCTTGTAGTTGTGTATAGTTTGTGTTTTTAATTAGATGAAAACTGCAGCAGCTGAAATGGAGAAATTGGAGCTCAGATGTGTCTTGTGACACAAATCAAATTTCTTTTTGAATTTAAGAAGTTAAAATTTAGATAATGTAACGATTTCAAGTTTAAACTACCTCTTCATGCCAAGTTTGTAAAGTTGCTTAATTAAATTGTGAATATAACACTGGTAAAGGTCATGATATATGAAAAAGAACCAGCATAAGATTCGAAGAGTTACTCAAAATAATGATTGAATCAAATAATGTCATGAATATAACTAATTAAAAATTGTTTCTAATTATGACTGTTTTAAATTTTTCTTACAATCCTAAGTAATCAAAATGTCACCATTATGATTTTTCATCATTATTTTCAATTAACTGAACTTCAGTTTAATCGATTAGTGTCATAATTCAACAAAAAATAATCAAGTACTCAAAATTGGAATTTCTGATTAATACTCTTTTTGATTATTTCAACTACTCAAGTTTCCTTGATTAGTTGAATGTATTTGATAATAAGCCCAGCAATAAATCGATTAGCAAGTTCCACTAATTGCCAACCTCTAGTTCTAAATATAAACCAACTACTTGTTTATAAAATATAAATCTTTGTTTTGCATACATGTACATGCAGCATACAAAATCACCATAATAGTATGAGCTTTATTAGGCCATAAATCATTTCATAAATAAAATATAAAGTATATACATTTCTCTTCTTAACATAGACTACACCTTCAATAGCATCAGTATGCTAGAATAAACTTGTAAATTAAGAGTGTTTTAAACATACCGTGCATAATCGAGTATTATAGTTGGCTGACCCAGTTAATGTGCATAGCTTTGAGATATAAATATAAGAAAGCAGTATTAAATTCCCATTGAAACTAAATTTTTTCTCTTCATCTTTGTGTAGTTACACAATTTCTGATATTTTTAAGCTAGTAACATTTTGTTTTATTAGTGATTATTAAGTAATGGTCTGTAAAACTAGATGGGTTGATTGTAGAGAATTTAAGTGATAAAAATTTAGGACTATGTTTGTTTTAAAGACAAATACTAAGTACTATTCTTTTTTTCTTTTGTTACAGAATAAAACTATAGATGATGATGATGAAAACTAGAATTTTGCATCTTTTTCAGTGCTGAATTAACTGAAAATTTAAATTACTAAAAGCTACAAGTACTCGAAAGCGGCATCCACAACAAGCAGGTGCCATACATATCTATTGATAGGAGAGCATTCCTTTGCCATTGTGGAGCGAGGAGAAGAACTAGATATGAGTGGGCTGGCTGCCATACCAGACCTGCTCCCTACTCTTCCATCTCAGCAACCTCAAATCATCAAAGAAGGATGGCTCTTAAAAAGAGGTAAGAAAATATTAGAACCACAAGTAAATTTAAATTTCTTATAATTTTCAACATTTTTCTTTACCAAGCCCTCTATATAATCACAAATGTTTGGATGTACTTAGCCAGAATTACTGTACCTACCATCAGTAGGCAAGGTTTTCTTGTTCAGTAATTAATTTTAGTGATGATATTTCATTATATCTATACATGTCAATTTAATTAGATGCTAAAATATAGAACTAATTTTAAACTATAAAATTAGATTTTTGCTTTATGGTTTAATATCAATGCTATTTGTACTTTTTTGTTAGCTTTTGGTATCTGTAAAGGATAAAGTACAGTACCATTCTTAAATGTATAAATACATTACAGTAGGGGAAGTGATTTTGAAATGCTCTACAAGAAGCTTTTAGTACAAAACATGTTTGCCTCTAATGATAATTACAAAAATTGGTAATAAGTTTGTAACATTGATATCTGTCTCTTTTTAAAAGCTAATACAGCAACATGAATGCCAATTAATCCTTGCTACTCGTATAACTTAGACATTGATATCTGTCACTTTGCAGAGCATTACCTCTCATCCATAGAGTAAGTATTAACTGTATGATTTGCTATACTTTAATAGACCTGTTGTATTGGAATAATTTGCTTGTAGCTCTGCATTTTGAGCATGAAGTGATTCTGAGGATTTCAGTTTTTGAAATCATAAATGCATCACTGATGCTAACATTCACTTCAATGGAATCTATATATATTGGGGATACCTTTGGCTAAACATTGTAACTGATGCTAACATTCACTTCAATGGAATCTATATATATTGGGGATACCTTTGGCTAAACATTGTAACTGATGCTAACATTCACTTCAATGGAATCTATATATATTGGGGATACCTTTGGCTAAACATTGTAACTGATGCTAACATTCACTTCAATGGAATCTATATATATTGGGGATACCTTTGGCTAAACATTGTATTTAAGTTAATCATATCATATTTGTAAAATAAGATTGTTAAAATTAAATATTCTCATACATTTGACAAAAGAAATACAACAGAAAATCCTCTATGTTAGAGGTTATTAGTGGTATAAAAGTAATAAATAAACATTTTAAGAAGTTTCTGTGGAAGTATGAAAATTAAATGTTCATTCTTAGTGTCAAAATTTGATTACAAATTTTAATATACGAGTTGAATAAGGTTTCTCTCTGTGCTTGTATTTGTGTATAGATTTATTGTATGTAGGTGCAACTGACCTGAATAATAACCTTGTTACACTAGAATAATTTCTAATATGACAAGGTACTTGTAATTTCCTGTTGGTGATATGTTGACTGCTTTCCATACATTTGTACATTTCTCTTGTAAATAACCAATTGTTAAAGTTGCTTGTTATATATACGTTATTTTAATAATTACGGTTTGCTTACAATTTCAGATCTTCTTAGAAATTTATACTGTTTATAATCTTATTTTTTGTAAAATTTGTAGAATAATTTGTTATTTTGAGTGTGAGAAAAAGCAAGAACTTTTCAGTTGTTATGGAAACCATGGTACATATGCATATATTCTTTCTTTCACAGTTATTGATTAAAGTAATAATGCATATTAAAATGTATGCTTCTTTCACTCTTTTTTTTTCCTCCAATGTCCTTTCTCTATATGTACTCATGTACTGTACTTATTGAATATGTGTGTTTAAATTTTGGTATCTAAAGTGCATGTAATATTAGAGTTGGGTGAGTTAATCAATATAATTGATTACCTATGATCAGTGATTTAGATTATTCCAACTTTCAATTTATCTAAATTACAAATAAATCGTCACCAAAATTATCAACTAATCAAAATATATTGTTCCAATTATTACTGTTTATGATTATTTCTGCAGTTCATTGAAATAATGATGAAATCCAATGTCACTAGAATAATCAACTAATTGAAATTAGGATTTCCAATCATTCAGAATTATGATTGAATCCATTGTCCCCAAAATAATCAACTAATCAAAATTAGAGTTTCCAATTACTTACTGTTTTGGTTATTCCAACTGTCCAAGTAATCAATATATTGCTATAATAGTTGTTTGTTGTTAAGCATAAAGCTATATGATATGTGTTTGTGGGAGTGCCTTGTGATTTAAAGGTCTTGGATTTGATTTCCATTACCATTAAATTTGTTCACCTTATCTTAGCAACTGGCTAGCAATACCAACCACATTTTATTTTGTTTATATTTTATAATTGTGTAACTGTATCCTTTAATGTTGTCTAAGCAGGTATGGATCTAGGAAAAAGGTCCGGGGGGGGGGGGTATGGACCTCTTCCATTTGTTTCAGGAATTAATAATTGTATTCTTTAATTTTCTGTAAGGAGGCATGGAATTAGGGTAGGGGTCCAGAGTTTGATACTCTCCCCCTTCACCAATTTTCCAGAAATTAATAAACTGTATTTTCTAATGTTGTACAAGTAGGCACACATTGAGGAGATGTAAACCCCTCAACCTCCATTCTTTTTCAGAAATCAATAAATAAACATACAGATGTCCTTTCACTACTATATAGTATCAGAAAGAAACATTAGATGTCAATGTTTATTAATCATCATAAAATGTTTTTGATATTTTTTTAAACCAACACAGCTGGAGTCTGTAGCAATCAAGTTAAGGCCTCAGTCAGTAACTGATTATCTCTAAGCTAATACAATAATATGAATGTAAATTAAACCTTGCAGCTTTTTTAGCATAGGCTTGTTACAGAATTGATTTTTTTGTTACTTAGAAGTTAAAATTCTACTGAAAGTGATGTTTTTATTATTGTTGATGTCTAAAATATGTGAAAATGCAAGTGATATAATGGTATATGTAACAACTTTTTAAATGAAATTGAAAATCTGCATCCTGTTCACTAATGCTGAAATATTTTTTTTTCTGAAGATGATTACAAATGATTATAGTTATCTAATTTTAAGTAAAAAATTAAATGTTTGTTTTTAACTGTTTTTATTTATGTATCAATCACATTATTAGAAATACAAATATAAGCTTTCAAATATAAGCTCACTGAGCTAATCATTTACAGAATATATCAACGTTATTTTAACTTTGTTTGACATATTTAGTTTACTTTAGGACTATGGGCAACACTGATTGATACAAAAACTATATTATTATAGTGGAAGTCTCTTCTTTTATGTAAAAAATACTGAAAATTTGGTTACAGTGCTACACAGCTAATTTTTAAAAAGTTAACTGGTATCATATAATCATTGTAAAGATGAAACATTATTGCATCTAGTATGGAGAAGTTAAACATATTTTGTTACTTGTTAACACAATAATACTATATTATCTGAATAACTTTTCTAGCCTTGTTGTTATTAATTCCCTAGTGGTTTTCAAACTATGTGAGATAAATTTATAACTGTAAAAAGCTTTATTTTACAGAATATATTGACCATAAGTTTAGGATACTTGAAGAACATAAAATAATATTAGGTTTTTACTTTGGCTAAGTACTTATTTCTTTAATAAATAAAATGAGTTGTAATAATCCATTTCCCTTGGCTGGTTACAAAGTGTTTTAGTAACTGTGTACTTCTAGATAAAACACTTAACCCGTTACCTTCCATGGACATTTTGTCTTATCATCAGGGTAAAATCACATTTTTGAATTGAAAAAAATTATAGAGAACTTATCTTTTATTGGATTTCAGATTTTATTTTTGTAAATAGTAGCATAACATTCAATTATTTGTACAAAATTGGATTACTTAATGAAGTTTAAAGAAGTATTTAATTAAAAAAATCCCAAAATACATTTTAGACTGTAAATAAGTGCCCTCTAAGAAGAAAATATTTTTTCAATAATTAAAAAAAAAATTCCTTCTAGTTCAGCACTGGTCCTGCCATCTATGATTGGTAGCTAAACCTTTTTCTAGTCTGTTTTCTTTATAAAACAGTGTCTGGGCGTGTTAAACCTCAGTTGTAAAACATTTAGCCAATCCTAGTCGAAGATGTCAATTTCAGTACCATGTTATTCCAATTGCTGTATTTTAAATTTGACAAATCATAGGATGATAAGGAAAGCACATGACAAAAGTTGTTCTCTGGATTTTACAATATGAATGTGGGTGGTGCTTATTATAGTAACTGCCATTTTATGTAGAGGTTGTATTTAGTATTGGCCAATAGTGCTTTTCTATAAGCATTAGAGAACTTGCTTCTGGGAAAAACTGCATGTGATGTACATGACTGATATTATTTTTTAGTAGTTTAAGTCATGCTGCATTAT